GTATTTCACTTTGTTAAGGCTTTATGTTTACGTACTACATCACACAGAAAATGATTACTAACTTACATTCATTTCCAGTCTTGCTTAACATTAACATTTCAGCGCTGTGGTTGGTTACGATGTGACGCTTCAGGTTGCCTTTCTGTTTACACCTGTAGGGGCACCAGGTGCAGGCAAAAGGTTTCTCATCAGTGTGGGTGAGCATGTGGTTCTTGAGGTTAGTGATGATAGGGGTGGAATAGAGACAGTAGAGGCACTGGTTGAGCTTGGCAAAGGTGGTGTTGGATGATGAACAGCCCACCATCCAGTTGGACCTCTGAGCCTCACAGTTCTCCTGCAGGTGACACTCATCTTACTAACTAGGAATATTTATTAGATACATTGTAGCTAATTGACTATATTTCCTGCAAGTGACACAACTTGCTAACAAGGGAAATTCTTGATATATTTTATGCTTATTGTAGTAATTGACCAGGTTTCCCAGCATCTGTAACTTACCTTACACAAACTAAGAATTATTCCAAATGTTCTGCAGTAATTAATAATGCTTGTACACTATATATATTAATGGTATGATACTTTTCATCAAAGGTATTTCCAATTTTCCATAAAACAGCTTTAAAATTACAGCCCAATATTATGGTCTCTGTAAATGAACACTGAGGTAACTTCCCTTCAGTAGTACAGTACACCCAATTAGGTATAGAATAAACATAACAAAAGAACATAGCATTAACTTAAAAAAATGTGTTGGAGATGAGACAGAATGTTGGATCAAGAACCTAACCTACCAGACCTGACCTCATAATAAGGAGCCCTTCCCTTTATTCCTCCTACACTAATGCCTTCAAGAGTGACAGAAGCATAGTGAAGCAGTGTGTGTGTGTGTTCTTTCACCCTGCTGGCTTGTGTCACATATGTAAGGTCAGCACTTTAACCATATGACTAAGATGTGTTCATAAACAAACATGATATGACTTTGTAAATACAATAAGTTTGCTAATCAAAATCAATACACTAATCAAAACTTTTTATTTATTATTGTAACCCCCTGCAACAAATACTATACAGGGGATACACAGTACTGTACTTGATTCAGTTTGTCCATTTGTCTGTTTGTCTGTCCATAAGCCATATACAAGTTGGTTTCTGCATGATTACAGTAGTGTACAGTACTTGAACTCTTAATCTCCAAATACCATAAAACATAAGTGGTATATTACTCTTCAGTAGAGGAAGCACCTTAGACTCAACAAGGGTCCCACAATTTAAATTAAATAAGACAACAATATGTGTGTAGAATAAGCACCATAGTCTTTGTTATGGTCATTAACACTCACTCAATAATTACCATTGTACAGTATTTAGTTTAATTTTTGCACAGATTTTTCAAAATACTTTAGTACGGTATGTAGGGCAACACATCAGGTGTCCGTATTACCACTATAATTAATTTCCATCTTTTATAGAACATCTGTTGCCATCTTTTTTATTTTCCTCCATCACACCACAAGAGCATCAGACATTCACATTACAGGAGAGGCAGCAAGACTGGTTTAGTATACAGTCCAGTATACACCTAAACAGGATGCTGTAGTACTGTATTATACAACACTGATGGCCACTTTTGTGTATAATTCAAGTCAGCAAAGATTATTTGAAAGCTTCATCATTATACCAAATTTACTAACCGGAACTGGAATGTAGCATCACGGGCTACACACAGCACCACTTGGCTTAAGAGTGTGCAGTACAGTACAGTACAGTAATGTACTGTATTTAGGAACTGCAAATTAAAAAAATCCCAAAGTTCAGCACTACAATACTGTCTGTACTGTAGTTTTATATATTACGTACAATGTTTACTTTTATGATTTTATAGAAATTTACTGTTTAAACATTTTACTGACTGAGTGAAAATATGTCAAGCTGATGTAAGCTATTTACAACAGTCGCTATACACCAAGCAGCAGCACTATGGAAGGGGGAGGCGAGCCGGTGTCAAACTACCACTCTCCAATTAGCAAAATGTGAATTAAACTTTTCAGTGGCAAACAGAAACTTTATTCTGTATTTACAACAAAGGAAAAAAGTCACTATTTCTACGCTTGTAACAAACATTTTCAGCTAATTGCCAACCACTATAGGATGATCAAAAAATTTAAGTGTACAGTTTACCCTGTACTGAATACTGTATTTAGTTTTTCTCATTTTTCTTGTCCATTTTTTTATACAGTAAACCCTTGTTATTCATGGGGGTTAGGTTCCAAGGAATGGCACAACTAGGCAAAACCTTGAATACCAAACAACCGACCAGCTGCAGCCGCACTCGTCCCCTCTTTTAACTTATCTAATAATTCAACTTTCTTTGTCAGGATCATCACTGACTTCTGCCTTTAACATTTCACTTCACTAGCACTGACACGAGGCAGTCTTTAAGGGACCATTTCACACAGAAACACTAAAGTTTTGAGAGAACAACACGAGATGCTGCATCGCAGACAATGGTTGAACGTGAACAGATGGAGAGGAGATGCTGCAGGCACGTGGGATGACTCTTTGTGCTGCGGAAAAAGGCTCGCAAGCTAGCTACCATCTGCTTACTGCGAATCATCGAAATCTTGAATTGCAAACCCACGAATAGCAATGGTCTACTGTAGTTTATAAAGTAGAACTTATAAAACATGTTCAAATAAACAACTTACAAATAGATGTCAATGACAATCATTGTGAACATTTATTATAAGTTCTACATGATACAACATACAGTATAGTAACTAAAACGATATAACAAATAAAAAAGTCACTGCAGTGCAAGTTTTTTATCATCCTGCACAGTGTGTGTGTGTCGTAGTCCACATGATTAATATATCGTATTTTATGGCGTACTTGTACGTATAAGACACTTTTATCTTCTGAAAAATGGCAAAAAAAATCACCCAGCATCCTATACATTAAGTTGTGGTCTCATAACTCCTGAATTAAAAATATTTTATTGTCTACCTAAACATATTTTCATTGCTTATCATTAGTTCAAAAAGTAATTATTGCAAATATAAAAGTTGGATTTATAACTACTGATGATACTCCATATTTGGAGAGTTATTACTTATCTTGCTACACAAACTTGATGTTTTTTCTCATGAGTTACTCAGCTTATTTACCAGAATTATCATTGAATATGTATTCCATTTATACAGACTTACCGCATCATGTATTAGTAGGAGTAAACAATAAATGCTAATATACACTCAAAAGTTTTCCAAAATATTCCCTGCTGAAATATGAGCGTGTCTTGCATGCCACAAAATACGGTGGTTAACACGTCTTGTTGTAGAGAAAGCACTGGATGATAAGAAAATATTTACACGTGTTAAAATGGAGATTTAAGACTTCTGTACAGGATTTAGGAGAAATTATCGTCCATATTTATTGGAAAAGCAAAAGATGAGCCATTGATGCGTCTCTCGGGGTACTGATGTGACCTGTTACTGTACTGAAGTGATCTGTGAGGTTATTGACATCATCTCAGTGAGGTCCACTTACTGTATCCTCTTATTTACATCCTTTATTAATTATATTTACACCAGCACCGGTGAATTCAACCTTATTATAAAATTGCATACTGTACTGTACAGTATTTCTTTTTCCATAAATGCTTCAACTATACCCCTGTATAGTATTATAGATATTTCTACTGATTCTCACAAGCTCTCTCTCCAGTACACAGTTGTTGTGACTGCAATCAACAGAGACTTAATCTAATATGCTGTCATTCACTCACTCAGTCATAACGTCTTTTTGGATTTTGTTATGCGATGATGTTCACGAGTTACCACATGGTAATACAGTAATGGCATCAGACTTTTCTCCCCTAAGGGAAAAATAAAGACAAATATGTCTTCCATATTAGAACAGTTAATTTGTTAACAAGGAAAATTTAAATCAAAATTAGAGTATCATGACCAATTGTCAAGTGGACTGTAATGACGTACCTGTCATATAAAGTTTTTCCCAGAGTTGCCACTTGATAATGATAGGAGGTGAAACTTCTAACTTATGTTGAAATGAGTTAGCAAAGCAACATGAGGTATGACCCAGAAGAGATCTACAGTTTGTATGAAAATACAAGAAGTATACTCATCCTTTGGTGATCTTGATAGAATCCACCAGAATCTCCCACTGCGATCAAATTCAACGGGTCAGCAACTGACTCGAGGAACGGGGTTGTAAAACTTGTCAAATGTCAACAAATGACTAGCTGGAGATCACAAAGCAAACACCATTGATGTTCCACAACAAAAACCAGTAGTACTGCACAATTCCTTAACCACAAATAAACAATTCTACAAATACTTGACCAATATAAATAAATATAACTAAAATTACCATCACAAATACTGTACTAATAATAATTTGCCACTCCAAACACACATTCCAGTGTTTTATTATACGACAAGCATGTACTGTACAGTACAGGAAATGTAATTTAGGATATTTTGCATTTCATCAGATACAGTACTACAGTATTTGTTGCATGCTTCATTATCTTTAGTATGTACTGTACTGCATCGGTTTACATGTTTTCATATTTGTATTAAGACAATGCATGCACACAAACATATATATGTATGTACAATATACTATATATTGATATACTGTATATACTGTACACAGTAGAGTATATTGTATATGCACATAAAGAAGCACAAAGATATGATACAGGTACAGTATTGTATTTGTAGTGGTCAAATTTCAGTAACAAAATATCTCTGATTGGCTGCTTAACAAAGAAACATATGAGCATGAATATAAAGCATTGAAGCAGTACTAAGAATGGTTATTTCTTATATGATTCTTTAAGTGAATTTTTTGAACAGCCCGAAAAGGACAGAGATCACATGGAAAAGGCTTCTCTCCTGTGTGGATACGTATGTGTGTTTTGAGGTTTGTCTTTTGTGCAGATCGGAAGGGGCAGTATGGGCAGGCAAATGGCTTCTCTCCTGTGTGTGATCTGATGTGGTGGGTCATTGAGTAAAGCTTATGCGTTGCGTGGTCACAGTGCGGGCATTTGTAGATGTTGATCTTCTTGTCGTTGGTTCTTCTGACTCTGCCGCTACACACCACCATGTTGCCACTGAGCTCTACCTGTAGAGAATATCCAGCTGATTTATGTGTATTACTAATGTAAATATTAAAAAAGTATAAAAAAATTAAACTTTTATATGTGTAAACATGACTCATTTCTGAAAGGGGTTCTGGAGTTTGAGGTTCAGTAGAGGGAGGTGTTCAGGCTCAATTTATTATTAACCCAAACATTCAATGCTTTTGCTTTACATCTCACAAGTAAGTCAGTTTTAATTTATCTTAACAGGAGACACAAACAATGTAGTACGTACTATAATGTACTGCAGGAGTGTATAACTATAGTAGATTTTAAGGAAAACTATAAATATAGTATAAAGTATTTAATAATTTAGGATGTTAACCAATATGTCAAATTTATTCTGTACATGAAACATGAATGTATAAATTAATTAACTTATATGCTCTCAGCAATTATATTGCTGCAGTAAAGGGTTTTCTTGTATTTGTTGCTGTGACAAAGTACTGTTGTCTTTGTTGTTAATCTATAATACATTAAGTGATGGAAAATGAGACATTGTAGCCTAAATCCCTTTAACGTTAATAAATTTTTGAGGTATTTGGCAAAGTAATAATTTGCATAATGTAACTACTGGTGAGAGTATGGAATATATAGTGTCAAAACTAAAGGCTGTGGACCATTTATGATATAAACGTACCCTGAGATGGTGTATTGATTCTTGATGCATGCCTCAGAATATGTGCTTTCAAATTATCTACTCTTGTGGAGCGGTACGGGCAGTGACTACAAGCAAATGGTTTTTCTCCGGTGTGTGTTCTTATGTGCTTCTTCAGGTTATTACTACGAGCACTACGGAATGGGCAGTGTGGACAGATATGAGGCTTTTCTCCGGTATGAGTTAACATGTGCTCCTTCAGATGCGTTTGTCTTGGTGTGTTGTAAGAACAATAGGAACACTGGAAGTTCATTATACAGGTACTGGCAGCATTTGTTAATCCCTCGACCTCTTCTGTCCTTGAAATGCTGCTCACAACTTCCACACGTAGGGGATGTGCATTAGACTGAGGGATAAAAAGCCAAATTACAAGCAATATAGCAAGTAACATGTCAATAATTTTTGATGTAATTACAAGTTAATATATTTGATTTTTCTGACATTTTAGATTTAGAATAAAGAGGATGTGCTTGTACACTGACTAGTTAACCCTTGACCAGCATAATGTGTAAAGTAATAGAGAGCATTATATGAGATGCCTTGATGGAACATTTACTACTAAACAACATTATAAAGGAATGCCAATATGGTTTCATGCCTGGATACTCCTTCTTGATGCAATCACTTATGGTAATGGATGTGTGGACACAGAGTCTGCAGCTTGGTGGCAATATTGACAATGTACATAGTACTGCACTGTACCTCATTTAAAGGTGAAAATTAAACTGGAAGAGTATGGAATTGGGTAACGTTCTGTCATGAATCAAATATTTTCTTCATGACAGCAAACAGTGCGAGTGCATAGTGATCAATGGGTAGTGTACTGGGATTGATGTTGTGTGTTTGTTTCCTAAATTATATGACAGATACAAGTACTATATTAAACACTTCTCCAGACAAATGCTTTCATACGATGCCAAGTCATTCAGACAAATTAAAAACCAAAAGGACAGTGAAGCTCTACAGGAAGAACTCTGTTTGAGTGGTCATAGGATGGTTGTTAAAATTCAATGAAATACAAAGGGATACACCGAGGTCACACCAATAATAAGAAGGCATATCATACGTTCCAACGGGGTAAAGAAACATCATTAACCAAGACCAAATGTGAAGAGGACCTGGGTGTGTATCTTAAAAGTCCTCGGACCATTGTGAGAAGAAGGTATATCAAGCAAAGCTAACAGGTCTTACAAGAAGGGCATTCACAAATCTAGATGGTCCATCCCTCTTAATGCTCTTCAAAAGTGAGGAGTTACTAGAGACTGTTAATTGATTGAGAATGTCTAAAAGAGGGACACCAGACTGGTGCCTGCACCCCGCACTTCAAGTATCCAGATATTAGAATGCCAGCAGTTGCCTAATTTATACTATAGATGGGCAAAGGGTGACTAATAGAAATCTAAAGCACCTCAGAGGACATTATTCAGTTGAGTGTTTATACCTAGAACTAGCAGATGCCCAGCCCATCTGAGGTCACAACCTCAGGTTGAAGAAGCCACAAGTTTGGGAGTGAGTGTTGTGAACTCTTATAATAACCTGCCAGAGAATGTTGTGATGGCACAGAGTGTGCGCTCATTCAAGACCAGACTTGACCATCACTGGCACAGGTATTGATACATTTTAGAGTTAGTAGATACCCAGTACTTGCCAACAGTGCATAACAGAGCTGTGATCAACTGCCCAAGTGGCTAACAAACTGATCAGATTTGCAATGTACCTTGAAATTGAAGTGTACATAAAGTACAGTATAGTATTGTACACCACCTGTATCAGAATTATGGCAATATATTTATTTCATGTTTATTTTCTTTTTAATAAAAAAATACTACAGTATACTGTATAAGCAGAAGGTCGCGTGTAAACCAATGGTCCACTCCAACACTAACTCAACAAATGACTATGACAACGTGTGTGAATTTTTGAAGTAAAGAAAGATTCACAAGTTCAAGTGTGCCATGCACTATACTGTACATTAAGATTATAATACAGGATAATACACTTGATGGATAAAGCCTTAAGGACGATGTAAAACATAAATTAGTCAATATATTTTATTATCATACTAAGACAGGGGTCACAGATAAGTATATTTGTGAAGTAATGTTTAGGATTTTATTTTAAATCCATAGGATCTCATAATGAAGGTCATTGTCTTCACTGACTGAAAGGAATATTGTTTTGGTGTTCAGATAAAAACTTAAAATTATGAAAAGAAAAATAATCCAGTATTCAGGAAAAAAATAAAAATATTAACAGCTAAACAACTGAGGCGAAATTTATGCTAATGTTTCCTTTTGTTCCTGTAAATATACTTTACATACATGCTATAAATCATCATGGATTTATGTTCTATTAATAACAGACCTACATTAAACAAATCACACAACTGTGCCTGGACTTACAAAGTACAGTAAGTGAATTCATCTTATTGCTTCCAGAAGTAAGTCTAGCTTTATGATTTATTAGATGAAATTTGTGTACAGCATGCCTTTAAATTTCATCTAAACAATAAAGAAACTTACTCTATTTAATGTAAAAACACACAGTGGTGTCTAAATTATTTGTCCATACAGTATGATCCTTAGATAATTTTTGTTGCAAAATTTTGAGATCATAAAAATATTTTCAAGCAACGATTATACCACATTTTTTGCATCATCGGCATTCTACGGCCATTTTCATGCCTGTGTTGGTTAGCCACGATCACCTAATGCATAGTCACACAAATGTGAACTTGTGTTCAGTTGTCTCACATATGCCCCCTTATGTTTTTTATTTAAAGTCCGTTGCCTTCCCTGCTACCGTCTCTCACTTGATACTGATGATTGTTAAATGATAATACAGTAAAGGTTATGATGAGATAATAATACAGTAGATGTAATCATATTAATAATATCCCTAACAATTACTATTATCATTACCAATATTATTATCTCATTGGCATCATCGTTATTACAGTCAAAAGTAATATTCACAATACGGTAATAAAGTCAGTTGTCAGTACTGTACGTCCATCTCCCATACAGTATAATGTCAAAGACTTGGTCTGGCCAAGAGAAGATATATACAATAACCTAAATTTTCAGATGGCTCATACTGATTCGACCAGAAAAGAGATAACAGCGCCCTGTCAGCCTCCAACATGATCAGTTTACAGTAATTCTCTACCTTTTATGAACTTCACATTCACAAATACCCCTGTATCTGTATTCAGTTCATGAGCACTACTGTATAAGGTTTTTATTATTATTCACACTTTTAGTTCTTTTAATTATTGACCAAACCAACATTTGGATAAGCTAATATCACCTTGGGATAATGAAAATGGAGTGTAAGATTAGAATATTCTGATAAGTGAATCCAGTACTGTGCTCTAATTGGACAGTGATCACTCAGACAGTAAGGGATACCTGTAGTACAGTAAAGAAGATAAATATTACTCTCAAATGTGTGACTGACAACTGATCCTGCCTTAAAATGAAGTCTGGCTCCCCATGTTACTGTACACAACTGTGCTCCTCTAATGCATTTCAGGAAATTACCTACTGGACAAGATTATTTATGATCAATAAATATGATAGAGGCAAACTTCCAGTATGTGAATGGTGTTGATATTACTATATTAAGTTCGACTGAATCATATATATTTGGATGTGAGAAGAAATGCTCGAGTGCAAATCAAATTACAGTACCTCGGTACAGTGCTTAGCCTTTACCCTACATCTGAGGCAAGAGAAGGGCTGAGGAAATGGACACAGAGCCTTTCATGACATAGCTGACAGTTACCCAGATGCCTTTCTGGGAAGTCTCCACTACGAATTCAAACTAAATTCTATTAAATTCTAATAATATGGATTGAATTTTAGTCATTATAAACAAAACTAAATTGACTTTTAAGACATTAATTGTCTACCATAAATATCTTGTATCTTATTAATCCCCTCCATGCCTTTGTTCTTAATTTATCTTACATATTCCAAAACTATTTATTCTTTTATGCATTAATATGTTTTTGGCTTCTATATTTTAGTTAGTGTTGTAACATAACCCTTTATCTTTACAAAAGTGTTGTTTTAATACTGTACAGTACTTATAGCTACTGTACTTATGTCTTACAGGGGTTTTCATAATGTAACCTCATAAAAAAGTTCAGACATTTGTGTACTGGACAACTGCCTTTGGGGGTAAGAGGTCAGAGTGCTATGATTGTTCTATGATGTAACTACCAGTATCATACTCTTGTAAGTTTGTGATTATTATATATTTTAATATTCATAATGATAATGAGAATGGTAAATGCAGTACAGTACAGTACAGTACAGTACAGTACAGTACAGTACAGTACAGTACAGTACAGTACAGTACAGTACAGTACTCATAAGAATAATAAAAATAGTAGAGGACATTATTGATGCTTATGATAAACAAGATTATGATGGAGGAAATAATGATAATACAGTACAGTAATATCAAATACTATACAGTAATCAATAGTGTTGATAATAATAATAACAGAAGTAGTTATTATAAATTATAACAATCAATATTTATGACTGAAGATATAATATTACTGTACTTGTGAGTTACATGGTACAGTAATAACCACAAATAATCAGATTTTATGAAAAGTAATTATTGAATATTAATTTTTTAATACTACCATTTCAATGTTGAAATAAAAATACAAAAGAATGCTTCATAATTTTTTGTAAGTCGTAATTATGTGGCTGAATATTATCTGTGAAATCACAAAATATTCAAATAATCACCGGTACCCAAATTAATTCAAAGTAGATCAACGCATTACTGTCCAGTGTTCTCGGGAGAATCATTAGAATTAGTATAGTGACTCCTCAAGTGAGCAGAAAGGTGAACTTTTTGTATTGAGCGATACGGACAATATGCACAAGCAAATGGTTTCTCTCCAGTGTGTGTAAGAACGTGTCTTTTTAAATTATCTTTCATGGTGGTATTGTACGGACAGTGGGGACAGGCAAATGGCTTCTCCCCGGTATGAATCCGTGAATGTCTGATTAGATTTGATTTGACGTCAGTTGAATAGGAACAGCGAGAGCAGTGGTGCATCCTGGTACTTGTAGTGAGTCCGTAGATCCTCTCGGCTTTTAGGGGTCCTCTCCTCCCAGGTGTCAGAGCGTCAGTCTCCAGCTCTACCTGTTGATAATGCCTCTAGCTTACTTAAAGTTATACAATGTGAAATGGAAACTAGATTATTAGTCTTAGTATTAAATATTCAAACTTTAAAGGAAAGTCAAACTTATTTAACTGAATGTCTCAACCACTGCCATAGTGATTGTACAACATCATTTTCCCTTCCTAGTATTATCACTCATCAACCAAAGATTATGTTTTTGAAAAAAAAAATCCTGTTACTGTACAGAACTGTTTATATATTGGTGAACATCAGACAGTTAGGTTTGTTGCCTGACTTGATCACATAATGAAAAAACTAAATAAATAAATATATATATATATATATATATATATATATATATATATATATATATATATATATATATATATATATATATATATATATATATATATATATATATATATATATATATATATATACAGTACAGTAGTAACCATTTAACTCGCAGAAAATAAATTAACCAGTACAGTAAGTACTGTATTACACTCTCAAGACTTTTCTTATATTAAACTGTCTTGAGAGACCATTACTTATTTAGAAATAAATACTCGTACTCCTTAATGAGGAGTACAGTAAAGCGTTATGAAAATGTTAATAGAGAAGAGGGAGGTGAGGTTCCCAGTACATTACACCTGGGTGCAACATGATTCACACAAATGATTTAACAGGTAACAGTTTTAAGAGGAGACAGTCTTGTTCATTATTCACCAGTTTAAGAGGAGACAGTCTTGTTCATTATTCACCAGTTTAAGAGGAGACAGTCTTGTTCACTATTCACCAGTTTAAGAGGAGACAGTCTTGTTCATTATTCACCAGTTTAAGAGAAGACAGTCTTGTTCATTATTCACCAGTTTAAGAGGAGACAGTCTTGTTCATTGTTCACCAGTTTAAGAGGAGACAGTCTTGTTCATTATTCACCAGTTTAAGAGAAGACAGTCTTGTTCATTATTCACCAGTTTAAGAGGAGACAGTCTTGTTCATTGTTCACCAGTTTAAGAGAAGACAGTCTTGTTCATTATTCACCAGTTTAAGAGGAGACAGTCTTGTTCATTGTTCACCAGTTTAAGAGGAGACAGTCTTGTTCATTATTCACCAGTTTAAGAGGAGACAGTCTTGTTCATTATTCACCAGTTTAAGAGGAGACAGTCTTGTTCATTATTCACCAGTTTAAGAGGAGACAGTCTTGTTCATTGTTCACCAGTTTAAGAGGAGACAGTCTTGTTCATTATTCACCAGTTTAAGAGGAGACAGTCTTGTTCATTATTCACCAGTTTAAGAGGAGACAGTCTTGTTCATTATTCACCAGTTTAAGAGGAGACAGTCTTGTTCATTATTCACCAGTTTAAGAGGAGACAGTCTTGTTCATTATTCACCAGTTTAGAGGCAGTCTTGTTCATTGTTCACCAGTTTAGAGGAGACAGTCTTGTTCATTATTCAGTTTAAGAGGAACCAGTTTAAGAGGAGACAGTCTTGTTCATTATTCACCAGTTTAAGAGGAGACAGTCTTGTTCATTATTCACCAGTTTAAGAGGAACAGTCTTGTTCATTATTCACCAGTTTAAGAGGAGACAGTCTTGTTCATTATTCACCAGTTTAAGAGGAGACAGTCTTTGTTCATTATTCACCAGTTTAAGAGGAACAGTCTTGTTCATTATTCACCAGTTTAAGAGGAGACAGTCTTGTTCATTATTCACTCAGTCGTTCATTATTCACCAGTTTAAGAGGAGACAGTCTTGTTCATTATTCACCAGTTTAAGAGAAGACAGTCTCGTTCATTATTCACCAGTTTAAGAGGAGACAGTCTTGTTCATTATTCACCAGTTTAAGAGAAGACAGTCTCGTTCATTATTCACCAGTTTAAGAGGAGACAGTCTTGTTCATTATTCACCAGTTTAAGAGGAGACAGTCTTGTTCATTATTCACCAGTTTAAGAGGAGACAGTCTTGTTCATTGTTCACCAGTTTAAGAGAAGACAGTCTCGTTCATTATTCACCAGTTTAAGAGGAGACAGTCTCATTCATTATTCACCAGTTTAAGAGACAGTCTTGTTCATTATTCACCAGTTTAAGAGGAGACAGTCTTGTTCATTATTCACCTGTTTTTATTCAACTAGTTTTGTCAACATGGTTCCATCTCCCCTAAAGAACACGTTTTATATATTCTTATGAAAGTTATACATTTAGGGAAGTCCTATGGCTATGCTGTACAAGTCTTGTTACAGTATGTGAAGTAGTTGTACTGTACAGTACCATAAGAGTGGGGATAAAGGTTATCAATATTGTACATTATCCACTAAGGTACTTTACCCATCTACACATGTTAATGGCACAGTAGTGATTCAAAAGTGATATTTCAACTAAAAAAGTAGAAGTATAGTGAAGGTACTTATGAAATTTAGAAGTTAATGAAAGTTTTTGATACAGGAAAAAGGTTTTTATCATATGGACCTGAGGAGTGACTCCACATAATATAGAAACAACAAAATAAGTACCAGTAATATTTGTGTGTGCGGTACAACAAAAATATAGATTTTTTTATAATATCGAGGTGAAAAATTGCCTAATGTATCTCTTCACAGCAGTTTCAATCCTAACACAATATTTACCTACCCCATAACTTGTACTGAATCATATAATACAGGTACTGTAATATTCAATAAAATTTTGAAATATAACAGAGCTCAAAGCTAAAGCAGTCTAAAATAAACAGACTTTCTGTTCATTTTCTTTATTCAAATGATCATACCAAACATACTTACTTTACTTGCAATACTGCCTAAATTAGGTTCAGTGTACAGTATAAAGTGTACTCTGAGTTGTTGCCATGGATGTCTATCATCATGTGTTTTAATGTGGTGTTTGTTCTCAAGTGAGCTTTATCATAAACATACAACAGTTAGTCTTAATACAGTACAACTAATAAGGGTATATATTATTATAAAAGTTTGACCATTATTTAATTCTTTTGATTATTATAGTAAGTGTTGAAACACTTTGCTGAAATTAAAATTTCTGAGACATACTGCTGGACAGCCAAACTGTCTCCACATCAAGAGCTGAATGCCTCACAGATCACACAGAGTGTTAAGATACAGGGAGATAAAGCTGAAAAGAAACTCCTCTCCACTTAAACTTCAAGTTATTAATATTTACAGTAAATAAAGACTACAGTACAGTAGCAGTTAATGGAACTACTAACCTATATACAGAAGTGTACACTAAACTGTTGAAAAATTTGTCTGATTTCCTTTACTAGAGGTAAAAGTTATATATAACTTGCAATATTCATTATTATGTACTGTATATTTCTACAAAACTTTTTAGTTTTATAGATATTGGGTATTGTAATGTTTCTATCACTTGAAAATACCATAATAACACTAAATAAACAAACAGTATTTAGCCCATTAAGAAAACAAATACCTTAGCTATGGTGATTCCATACATGACTCTTCAGGCTGCTCTTCTCTGCAAAAGTGTAGGAGCAATGAGCACAGGCAAAGGGCTTCTCGCCAGTATGAGTGCGAATGTGTCTCTTTAGATTATCCTTTTGAGTTGCTCGGAAAGGGCAGTGTGGGCAGGCAAATGGCTTCTCCCCAGTGTGTGTGCGTAGATGTCTCATTAGATGAGCATAATTACTAGTGATGTATGCACAGTAGGGGCAGTGATGAGTCTTGCCAGTGTTGAGCATTTTCCCTGCCCCCGAGGGTCCTCTCTCGTCCGTCTCCATCTGTAGAGGATGCCCACCTTACTCAGCAACACAGTACCAAAGGAAATAATGACAAACAGAAATTGCTAATATCTTATTATATTAATATTTTTGGTATGATTCTTCTACTGTACTTATATATTAAAATAACATTAGCAAAAAATACCACCCTTCAGTCTCTCAGTTGTCTTATTACAAAGTCCTAACATCCAGGCAGGTGGGACTTGAACCCTCAGTAGGTAACCCACCAAGGAGGATACTCTCTTGGGGGAGAGATGAGGGGAAGGAAAACCAGCCGGACAAACCCATGACATGGGTGAGCAGTAGAAATACTATACGTACTGTATAGGGCAATTGAATGACCTGGTATAGAACTATGCTGTGTTGTGATGTCATAGACAACGAGTTCAGCAGCAGAGATGAATCTCTGATGTAGACCGAACCTCAAAATGGAACAAGATAAATTCTTAAAATAAAATACACATTTTTGTTTTCCTCGCACAGAGTCATACATCTCAACCTTTACTAAATCAAGAATTATATGTGTGTGTGTGTGTGTGTGTGTGTGTGTGTGTGTGTGTGTGTGTGTGTGTGTGTGTGTGTGTGTGTGTGTGTGTGTGTGCATGTGTATTGCATTGTGTGTGTGTGTGTGTGTGTGTGTGTGTGTGTGTGTGTGTGTGTGTGTGTGTGTGTGTGTGTGTGTTATTCAAAACAGAACCAATATCAAAGAGACAGTACATAGCACTTGGTCTCAGTAAACAATATGACAAGAGATGAACTGAATCAAGTTAGTCATACATGTTTAAATAATTGGTTTAGGAATTCTGATCTAAGGACAATGAAAATAATGTTGGATGGAGAACACTATTATTCCTTCAGTGTTCCTTCTACAGTATTCTCATTATTGTACAAATGAGTATGATTTAGTCTACAATAAAGTCTTTCTCATGCCTTAGTATTGTACTGTTGAGACCTAATAGTAAAATTAAATTATCTTTTATAAACAATGACTGAACAGTTTCCTCTCAACCATCATGTGTGTTATGAGGTAGAAAGTTGTCTAGCAATGTCTTTAAAGGTGATCAGTAAACATGCATCTTATTAACCATCATGACTGTTACATTATGCTTGAGAAAAAGTTTCATCAGTATCTTTAAAGGGAGATTGTTAGACACCATTCATAGCTGTGTCATCAACAATGAATATTCAATTGTCTTAACACTGAATCATAAATCCACCGGGCTACAGAATATACCAAAAATTCCTTGATTACTATTAAGTCAGATCCAATGATATAGGGATTAACTGTAGTTATAAATGGTCACAGACTCATCATTCAGACTTACATCCAGTTAAGCAGTAGTCTGCTAACTCATATCCACCATTCTTCTGTCCTTCCAAAAATACTACAGTACAGTATCTTGACCACTGTTGAGTTAATACATTTTTAGATTTATGTTGACAAAAGTAATTCCATTAAATTTTTCTGCAATTTGAGCTAATACCAATTGGCCAAAACACAAATACAGGTATGTACAGACACACACACATATGCACACACAAACTTACAATTGATAACTTGAAAAAATAAATATAATATTGAATTGGAAATCAATCTAATATCCATTAAATTTGATGAAAGTTCCTTTTCAATGTCTTTTTATACAGTGATAAATACAGTACAGTATGTAGTACTGTATTCAGAATAAAAATCATTTCACACATTTGTGTGTTCATTACCGACTTAGGAGGCATGATGGGCACACACATGAGCTTTCAATGTAGTCTTTCGTGAGGACCGATAGCTGCAGTACGGACATGCAAAAGGTTTTTCTCCTGTGTGAGTCAAAATATGTGAACGTAGACTTCCTTTTTGAGCGAAGCTGAGAGGACAATAGGGGCACGAGTACGGCTTCTCTCCAGTATGAGTGCGCTCATGGTTCAGGAGATTGGTTGTAAAATTGGTTGTGTAGGGACAATACTGGCATTGGTGACTCTTGTATCTGATGACAGTACCCTTCCCAGCTCCTGTGGATCCACTCCAGCCAGTCCTCTGGCCGTCACTCTCCAGCCCCACCTGTTGGGAATGCCCATCTTACTCATGATATACAGTACTAACAACAAGTCATACATCCTGACATGCGTGAATTTCCTTGCTTAGTTCTTAACGTTATCGTACCTCAATGTTAAACTCATATTCTCATAGTAAATAACCATTGTTTCTGTACTTTTCATAATCTGCAAAAAAAAAGTCAAATAAACTGATAACAGTTGATTATAATAAGAAGTTTTTCATTAGTTTACCCGGTAGTGAAAAAATCTTGTTTTGGGAAATATATAAAAAAATTACCAAATAATTTACTTATAATATACAGTCATTGAATGACTGCAAAGCAATAGGTTTCTACAGTACTGTACGTACAATACTGTACATGTATTGTTAATATTTCTCATATTTGTTTGACTATTTATACAGTATGTACTATGTACATACAAGCGGACATGTTATGTAATGTAATGGTAGTATTTCTTGTTGAACTTATGAAAGAAGAATAAGATGAATACAGTATTTGATTGAGACAATGATATCTTAAGAAAAATAAGTTATTTTTTTATCAATCAAAGTCCAAGTTATTTAAAGGCATAAATTTTCATTCAGGAGGAAGTGTGACCAGATGACAGGCAATAAAGACCAATTTTGGGACTATTAAATATTTACTGTTATTATTTGTGTCCTCTCACAGTAGAGTGTTCAGTACAATATTACTGTACATACTGTACACAATAAAATGACCTTATGCTGTAATTTCCCCGATAAGCTGCTAATTGGATAGACCAAGTATTTTTTCTCCCCAACTTTTCAGTGCAGTTCCCTTTAAGTATCACAGGTGTTGTCATTTTCTAAGTAACACATAACTGCTAACCCACTTGAGCGTGTAAAATGGCCATTATGACGATGATTATAATGATGATGATTTATTTATGTCCTCTATCATAAAATAATTGAATAATAATGGAAGTACTGCACTGTAATATACTGAGCTTGAAAAATATATACTGTACTGTACTGTTAAATTTAACTGAATAGGATATTGCAGTTTATTGTACTGCAATGTACCAGTAAATATTTTACAGTAATAGTATACAGTACTGTATGTATTTATTACACAGTACAGTAGTCATATTTCAACCAGTACATTAAACACAGTACAGTATTGTTTTGCATAAGGTAATAGGCTGATGTAAAAACTGATTCATACAATTACTGTACAAGCTTTTGTTCAATTTGTTTGGTTTAGATATGAAAGAATTAAGGAATTTCCTTACATTGTACACATACATTCATACAGTTAAGGTTTTCATATTAAACTCTTCTGTAAGTATTGTGTCAAAATTATCAATGGTTACATAATTATAACTTAGTGTAATGGTAGAGCTATTAATAATACAGAATTATACATTAAGCCATATGGTTATCTTTTTGTGTTTGGAGGAATGAAAAACAATGATTTTACACATTTTATTGACTTAATGTACAAGTTTGACTGACAACACATAACCTTTATCATGACTTGAAACGTTATACTGTAATATGTGGTGAAAGGAGGCACGTAATGTAAATATTTAAATAATAAAGCACTGCATTATGTTCATATATCCCCTTCCTACTCCCCCCCCTTCCCCTTCCCAAAAAATACTTTTGTTCATAAAATTAGTTTCATTGGTCTATCTGTGTACAGTACAACTTATGGCACTTCAAAGCATAACTGGTACTGTACTGTCCTACAATTTGGAGGTAAGATCTGAATAAATCTGCACGGTAATGAACTTCATTTTCATTTCTATATAAAATTTCTTTTGGTGTTGTAAAACTGAACCAGGCTTAGGGGCACAAGAATGCTTTTGAGACTCAGCCCAATTATGGAGATGAGATGCATATATGACTTAACCCTACAAAACATTTCTTCACATATAATGAGATTCTATTGCTATAAACTTAGTATAAAGCTTGTTAAGTAGCCTACAGTAACCTACATGTGGTGAGTGCAAATGTGTGCTTTTAATGTAGTATTCCGTGAAGAGCGATAAGGACAGTGTGGACATGCATACGGTTTTTCTCCTGTGTGAGTCGACAGGTGATACCGTAGACTTCCTTTCTGTGCAAAGCGGAAGGAACAGTATGGGCACATGAATGGCTTCTCTCCGGTATGTGTTCGAACATGATTTTGTAGGTGAGTTGTGAAATTAGTATTGTAGGGACAATAGGGACACTGATGAATCTTGCTACCAACAGTATTGCCTCTCTCGGGTCCTTTGGGTCCACTCCAACCCGATTGGTCATCACTGTCCAGCCCCACCTGTAGGGAATTCCTAACTCACTCATGATGCTTAAAGCAAAAGATCCTATACAGTATGCAGTATTCATATAATATTATATATACAGTAATGGTAGGCCTCGTACGGTACATACGTAATCCATATAATCTGATCAAGACACTGTATAATTTTGCTAATATAAAGAACTGAACCTTTTTAAAATATTGATGAAACTTTTGTGCTAAGTACTGTACAGTACATGCTGAATTGGAAAAAAATGTTGTTTGTGAAATTAACATTTGTATAATTTCTTCAGCAAGGAAAGCTTGCTCTGTGTTCATGATTTTTTTACTTACCTGTGGACAGTATTTTCCTTCACACCCAGTAATACAAACTCACATGGCTACAGTACTGTGTTAGCACAACAACTCTCTTTGAATTCAGGAGCTGTTCTCTAGCTCGAATTAATAACTGTACTGTACAGTACCACCCAAACCAAAGCATAGTGGACTTCAAGGAATAGAGGACAACTCCCACAAGTCAGAATCATGAGACTTAAAACTTGCTGACAATGAATGAAATTTTCTTATCATTACAATATATAGTTCTGTACTTTCCTATTAAAAAAAATAGTCTCTATATGTAACTTAAATCACTAATAAAAGTTCCAAGACGAAAGTAAGTAAAAATATTTAGGTGGTGTTGAGGATACATGAACCAAATGTTTACCAAGTTATGGCTCCATCACAGTATGTGTGCACACACAGAAATACTCATACACATGAAGATGCAAACAATGATAGAATAATGATTATACAATAAATCACACTACTGTACTGCACTACATATTCACTGCTAATACTGTATATCATAAATACTGTATGCACTTGTATAATTCCTGCCATGTATGGGAACTGATAACCCTGTAGGAGGGAGCTGGGGTACATAACTGCCCTCACATAAAATGTAACAGAAACTTTGAACCTCATTTCTCAACATTACAACAGAATATGAGTTTTAATGAGAGTAAAACAAACTTGACATGAAAATATAACAACCAAAGTCAGAAGCCAGTACAGTACAGTACCTCAGTTAATTAATATTTTTAGGAACTTTGTGCCACTAAGAGAGCTCAGCCTCTCAATTGGCTCAACCATGTTAATATTGTTATGTCATTATTATCCACTCTGCATCTGCATTTTCTGGCTAAATAAAATGTTTCAGTATCAATATTCTGGGAGGTGGAGAGAGTGTTCCTGTGGAGAAGAATGTAAAGTACAGCTCACAGTACTGCATACTACATTGCATGCTGAGAAGAGGCTGGGATTATACTATACTGTATACAGGTACAGTATATATGAAACTAATCAATAAATGAAGAGTAGCACTCCTCCAGTACTGACTCAGGGTGTCTGGGACAGTTGGGAGGTTGATAATCTCCTTATAATTACTGTATGTCAGGCTCAGGTAAAGCAGGTGTTGGTATGAACGTGGAGAATGAACTGCAGCTTGAAGTTTATGTCAGAGGAAGTTGTCTTCTTCTTAGGAGTTATCCTAAGTGAGAATTCAGACTTGTGTCAAGACTTGGAAGGTTTTTTGAAATGAGAAATTTAGATGCATTGCAAAATAAAAAATATTTATATGACCTGACGAATGAAGTCTTCTATAATAAAACGTGAGACACTGACTGAAGTCCTCAGGTATACCATTAAGAATCACAAACATGCAAAATTCAGATACTCTGCCAGTGGTCAGCTAAAATTTTGTATACAATTCAAAAAAATTATCACCATAAAAAACACGCTTCTCAACATTCAAGAATCATAGATCAAAAGCCACCATGAACTAATTTATGCACAATATACACAAAACAGTTAGGACAGTACAGTACAGTACTGAGGAGAAAGAAGTAAAACATAAAATATGCTACAGTAATTGTCTCTTATAATGATCTAGAATTATGAAGAGAATGGGACATCAAACATTGTGAAATGAATGTGAACCTTTCTTGAGATGGGACCACACTGCCAACTGCAACCATCTATACTTTAATTGTGTGTGAGGAGTGTACAGCTTGAAAATTTTAGCGTGATTTCCTCCACTTCAACCATTTGAGGTTCTGACGCGCAGGAGATCTGAACGAAGGAGGTGCTACTCTGCTTTGGTAAACACACTTGCGAAGTTTATCTGTACAGTCATTCAGTGTACTGTACATGATAAGTTATACAGGACGAAGAATGACCAAATTCCATCACATTAATTCATAAACAGATTTTACAGTACAGTATAGTAGTACAGTACAGTACAGTATGGTGCAGTACAGTACAATACAGTACAGTACAGTATAGTACAGTGCAGTAAAGTATACACTTGTCATTTCAAGATTTATTCTTAGTGTACAGTTTTAAGTACTGTACTGTATACTGTACTGTACTGTACTATACTTTACCAGAACTGGAAAAATGTGTGATAACAAGAGATTCTGAACTGATCCAGTAGTGACAACTAAAGCACATGCCATGAGAAGGGTGCAAATGGCAGCTTTTTAAATAAACATCAAGATACACTAAATTCCTGGTCACACACACACACACTGTACTGTATATGAACAAAAATAAAAGTCAAATCATCCAAACTTTTGTTTATACTTGTACCAACACATACAGTAACGAAAAAGACATTATTGTTAATTATGAATGAAGTCATGAGAATTACCTGATGAATGGTGGACCCATAAGTGATTCTTCAAGCTGCTCTTCTCGGTGGAACGATAAGAACAGAAATTACACGCATAAGGCTTCTCCCCAGTATGAGTACGGATATGTCTTTTAAGATTCTCTGTTTGAGATGCTCTGAATGGACAATATGGGCAGGCATACGGCTTCTCCCCGGTGTGAGTGCGTGCATGTTTCTTCAGATTTGTGTTAACATTGGTGGTATAAGTACAGTAGAGACACTTCAACACCTTGCCAGATGAAGGGAGGATCTTTCCTGCTCCTGTTGGTCCTCTCCGGCCAGTCCTGTGATCGTCAGTGTTCAGCCTCACCTGTAGAGGACGCCATCTTAATCAAGAGTTAATGTGATAAGATATGGAAAGAAAACTCTCCATTACAAGTTTGAGACTTAAATTCTTTATTTGATGTTTGGACTTACTTCACTGTACAAAAGGGTCATATTTACAGAAGATCATGTAGTGGCCTACATGTAATTTATTCCAATTATGTTGTCCAAGAGTACTGTATTGCATACTCTTAATAAAGCTGTTAATGATCAACAGAAAGACATTGGCAACTTTGAGGCATAAATACCTGTGAAGTTATTGTCTCTCATATTCATGAAGAACATAAAATTAAAACACAATTTGAAATTCCTCATATTTATTAAAAGCATAAAAATTAAAATAGTGATTTCTAACTACCTGTACAAAAAATTGCAATAAATTTAATTTCTGGAATTCCTTTGTCTAGTTTTAACACAAATTAAAAGTAAGATAATATTAAAGTACATTATGGTAAGAATATTGTCAAAGGAGAATATCACACTAATTTTTATTTTCTTCTTAAGAATTATCTTTTTTGTAAAGGAACTCTGCATTTTAAATTTTTGAAGACCAAATATATTTTCACAGTAGTGGAGATACTGTACTGGAAGCTGAGAGCATGTTGACTATCATGCAAAAATTTGTCATCGAAACAAAACTCAAAGAAAGTAATTTATCCATATAGTTTATGTTTCTTATATCTTATGATGTACAATATATATATATATATATATATATATATATATATATATATATATATATATATATATATATATATATATATATATATATATATATATATATATATATATATATATATATATATATATATACATTTGTTTGCTATGTGGAACCATCATATGTAAAATCCATTAAGTGAAAGCTTATGGCTGACTGTCTTGAATCATTATTATTGTTCCCAAATGGAAGTCATTGAGGGTATAATCCATTGAATGAGAAAATCTTTTCTTCTCTTTTTATCAAAATTGAATGTTGGACATATCCAGCATACTTCTGTGCTTGTGGGCGAGTGACCAACACTAACTGAACATGTTTTCTTATGTAGTACAATACTGTACTCATGCTGACTGACTTGTAAAGAAAAGAGCCTTGTGAATTGTGTAACCTCCATAGTTCCCTGCCCTGCCCTGCCCCTGCCCCTGCCCCTGCCCTGCCCTGCCCTGCCCTGCCCTGCCCTGTGTTAATAATGAGTGTTTTGTGGGAAGGAGACTTAAATGCAATTAAAACTTTTCATATGGAAATACTGTGCACAATTACTGGATAATCATAATAATGCTAAAGGGACCCAGGTCAGATCACACAAGAGTAGTGTTGTGGAAGCAACCAAAACATAACTCAAACAGCGCTATAAGAAGTGACAAGGGCTACACCACCTGATGACCACAACCTACAATAAAGTAATACAGTATACAAATTACAGGCTGTTAATGTATTGTACAGTACAGCCATCTGTTATGAAAATATTTATCCCTTATACGGTGTACAGTATGTACTGTAATATATTTGCTCATCTTATCAAATCAAATCAGGTTTATAGAGATTATATATACATAAGACATAACTGTAATATTTTTTCTTAAGTTATTATTCAGTATTAATTGCTTACACAGCCCCTTGAGGAATTTGACCTCTGCTTTCTGGAAAATTCCCATTAGAAACAACTCACTGGAGCAGTTACTCTGCCCTCTTGAGGTTCTACTGTACAGTATCTCAATCACTTGAGCTTCATATTTATTATTTGATTGTGACATTTAACTTAGTATTTCAGTATTTAATTCATATATACTTGAGACTCCTGCCAGATGCTTCTGGTAACATTGTGAACAGCACTAGGATCCTGTTTCCTATAATATGCAATGAACTGTTGAAATTTAAACTGAAATAAGTAGGGTACAGAACCGTACATCCCAAAACACAGGTATTTTTAAGTTGTTTCAGGATTATCAAATGTGTCATGTGATTTATAGTATCAAATACTGTAATATATATATATATATATATATATATATATATATATATATATATATATATATATATATATATATATATATATATATATATATATATATATATATATATATATATATATATATATATTACTGTAATTATACAGTGCAGTTTATTTCTAATATTTCATTTGGTGAACTTATTTTGTTAGACTTGGACAATATTTTAATTATTTTATATATCTAGACTCTACAATCATGGCAACTTAAAAGGTGATAATAGTGTTAGAGAAGTAAAACTAAAGATTATATGTTAATATACATTTGAAGAATTATTTTAAAGTTGATGTGTCAGCATATGAGTTTTTAATGCGTCTTTACGAGAGGAGCGATGAGGACAATAGGAACACGAAAATGGTTTTTCTCCAGTGTGAGTTCTAATGTGTGTTTTTAGACGGTCCTTCGTGGCAGAAGAAAATGAACAGTAGGAGCAAGAAAATGGCTTCTCTCCAGTATGAGTACGCATGTGGTTCCTCAAACTTGAGGTAAATTTTGTGTTGTACGGACAATATGGACATTGGTGCGTCTTGAAGAAGGTGGTGATTCCCATCCCAGGTCCTGTCGCTCTTCTCAGGTCTATCCTCTGGTCAAGTCTGTCCAGCCCCACCTGTTGGGAACGCCCAGCTTACTCACATTGAAAACAAAAGATCAATAACACAAACAGATATAGTATATAAATAAAGATAAAATGTAGCAAATTTAACTGTACATCAGAGAAGCAGCTACGGTACATCTATGTGCATTCAGATAGAAAATTACTATGCAAGCGTGTGTAGTTATACCATGTTTTTCTTTGGAAGATCATTTATCTACATAACTCGGGTCTGGCTCACACACAACATAGCATAAGGATTGTTTTTATCTGTTAGATGTGTAAGTAAAAAATATTGTCGTTGCTGTATATAGACTACTGCTGGAATGTTCATTGTGAAAGTCAACGTTACATTCAAGTACGCTAAAGATTTTCTTGGATGATAATTACAATAACTATGTTGTGCAGTACAGTACTGTACAGAATATATTTTATGCTCACTTAACCAAACATAAATAGAGCCATTAGGCCATTGACAATAAATTAGTGAATAATGTAACTATACTTACAAAAAATTATAAGTTTGTGTCTTCATTTAGTTTAATAATAGTACAGTATTTACAAAATAATACACAGTGCAGGTAAAACAGATCAAGATCCAATATGATACATAAGGTCGGAAAGTTGTGAGAACTTCAATGGTTATTTGCTTTTTTCATCAGTTCTGTGTTACAGTTTACTGTAATCATAATAGTTTCTTCTCATTTTAAAAGGTTTTTATATGAGTTAGCATGTGAGCCTTCAGAGTATCTTTCCTTGAGGAACGGTAGAGACACACTGTACACTTGTAGGGCTTTTCACCGGTATGTGTACGAATATGTTTCAGGAGATTGTCTTTTGTAGCAGAACTAAACGAACAGTGCGAGCACTTGAATGGTCTTTCTCCAGTATGAGTGCGAATATGATTTCTCATACAGGTGGTTGCATAGGTGGAATAGGTACAATTTGGACACTGGTATATCTTGGTCAAGGGGTTACTCCCAGGTCTTGTGGCTCCTCTCCCTGCAGTCGTCAGCCGATCAGTGTCCATCCTCACCTGTTGGGAATGCTCATCTTACTCTCTTCATGTTTTTAATATTGAAAGGATAAAAGCTTCCTATTTCAACTTAATATACAGTAGTAGGGTACACAGGCAGTGAGAACATAATACTGTGTTCATCTAACAGTATTGTAGTACAGTAAGTCCTCGCTTAATGCCGTAGTTCCGTTCCTAAAAACCGCAACGTTAACAGAAACAACGTTAACGGAATCAATTTTCCCCATAAGAAATAGATAAAATACGGGAGTTACGCTCTCCAGCTTCCCTTTGCCCCATAAAATACATTACATATACAGAAATTCAATGGCATTTTTATAGAAAATAGTATATATATAATTAAACTAAATCATTTTGTATTGTACTCACTGATGGGCGGAGGCGGTGGAGCGAATGTGTGGTGGGTAGTGGAGCGGAGGAGGAGAGGTGGAGGGCGGGAGAGGAAGAGGGTGGTGGGTCACTGAGACCTGGCGGGTGGTTCAAAATGGTTTAAGACTTCCATTTCCGTAGCAAGGCTAATGGTTTTACGTTGCTTCTTTGCAACACTAGCATCAGCAACACTTGATGGGAACTTGGAAGCCATTTTGAATGGTTAGAGTACAGTATTAAGAGCAAAAACACTTAAACAATCATGACGCTATGGAAGCCTAACAAAGACCAGCGACGCTGTGATGCTCCGTGAGTGAGAGCGCAGCACGTCAAGCTGAGAGAGCGTAGCGCGCCAAGATAAGAGAGAGTGATGCGCCGTACATAAGTAGTCTGTGACGATGTTATACTGAATCGGCGGGACGTTATCCGAATCATGGGTATCTAAAGAATAGCGACGCTATAACAAAGCAATGTTATCAGGGGCAACGTTAAACAAGGACTTACTGTACTGTACACATAAAACTTGACTTCCCTTCACTTTTACATGCACACAAACACAGGTGATTTACCCAGTAACATACACAGTACACTACAGTACAGTACGGTGCAAAGTTTTAGCTCACCTGCACATAGTGAAGAGGAGCTTAAACTATAACAATAGTACAGTATTATGGTAATTTGTGGTGTTATTGAACGTTAAACCATTTTTGAACAAGTTCTATTTTTGAAACCTTATTCCTGTCATTATGTATATAAACTGTAACAGCATAAGGCATAGCAGGTGAGTTACAGTACATCTTCTTTATGCACCATTTGTTTTGGTTAGCATAGTTTCTTAAAAACTATACACAGGATATTTATATATGAAAATCTCATGAGCAACATAATTATGGGTATTTTTCAATTAGTGAGTGTAGTTACCTGTACTATATTAAGTACTATAGAGTACCTTCTTATGTTTTTGGCCACACAAGTAATAGTTTTAAACCTAACATACAAACTCATCTTGAATGAAGGTAAAGTTTGCCCCTGCCAAAATTTCCAAGTTGAAACGGAGGTATATATCTGGTCAATAAAATTGTAATGCACAGTACTAATTGATGAACTCAGCTGATATATTTTTTATAAGCCACAAATCATTTGTCAGTTCAACCAGTGCAGCTTTTATCAAGTTACGTAGCAGGAATGAGTTCTATACAGACATGCAAAAGGTGCCGCACGTTTATGGTCCCACATGTTAGATAAAAAACAAAGATGTTTATTTAATCTTAATATTTATGAGTCATAATTTGATTGAACAGTTAAAAAAAAATAAAAATAAACTTTACAATAAATCAATTAAAAAGAATTATCAAAGCAAGAGAAGTGGTTGATGCTACAGTCTAACCATAGTACTGTACTGAACTGAACTGAACTGTACTGTACTGTACTGTACTGTACTCCACAAGTAGAGTTTCTTGTCTGTTAAGTCTTTGAGGATGAAGCTTTAACCCTTGATGGACAATACTGTGCTGTACAGTAAATGAACCTTTTAAAGATGAGGCTTTCATCCATAAATTTAAGACAAAATGTATATCATTTTAGCAGTAATAAATAAAACAAGATCTTTTTAATGAGTGTTGTATGTACGAGTACTGAACCAAATGACAATTATATTACAGTGCATTATATTCTTATAACGAGGAGAATGACAGACACCAGAGCATTGCTTTCTCTACATTTTGATAACATTTACATCCTTATTTGTCATAGAAATACTACACAACCTGTATATCAAATTGTATTTTTCTTGTTTGTAGTGATGTTACCATGTAGTGATGTTACCATGTGCATATGGGTATACAGCATAATGTATTATCTAATGGTAGACCCTGCTGCCCTATGGCATAAAAATAATTGTGACCAAGTCTCAGGTTGGTGATCTGACTGTTTGCCTCATTTACACACAATTGCAGGGTCTCAATCATTTCTCTTACTATTGACAACACAACATACAAATATTGTTTCTCACTTTGATCTTTTTTTTATTTTTTTATTTCTTTTTGGTTCTTTATTATTATTATTATTATTATCATTATTATTCTTATATTATTTTATTTTCAATTTTATTTACTATGAATAATTATAATTACTATTATTATTATTATTATCATTATTAATATTATTACAGGTATTACATTTTCGCCCCCCAGGCCCCGATGTGGGTCAGTGACCTGTGCCCGGGTGGGCTAATCCCCGTGTGTAAAAAAAGTGCATGTGTGTTTACTACTGTCACCTACAGAATGGTAAACATAATGTTAAAAGGCAATGGAAAAGGTATAAGGATAATCTTAAGACAAACCTGAAAAAGTGTCAAATTGACTCCTTCATCTGGGAGATGATCACTCCGCACCATAATGCTTGGAGGAGCACCACAAAAGAAGGTGTCAATACTTTCAAGTTAACCCAACTGCATACTGAGGCAGACAAGCGTCAGTGCTGGAAAGACGCTGATGCAGCCCCTCCCGCACTTGATGTACCCCTCCACAATGCAACATCCGCGGATGGCCCCGCCGATGCCATATCTGCCTCTCGAGTCACCTCAGACTCACCAACGAAGGTAACATCACTAAAAACCCATATCATCATGTCATCGCTGGATGATCAACACACTCGATTCCAAGTGAGCAAAGTAGTAGTGTGTGTGTGTGTATAGCACACTGTAATGTTAACATGTGCATGTGTGCATATATATTATATTGGTATGAGTGTGTGTAGGGGGAGGGTTAAGCATGATTAAAAGTGCATACAGTACTGTACTGTACAGTATTACATTCTAAAGAATTATTTAAGAAGAAGGTGAATATGCAACGAAATGTTGGAGGAATTTGGTGGACCATTAAAATAGTTTTGAAAATAAAATAATGAAGTAACCTCTGGTAGCTTGTTAGTGTGGCAATATGTTGGAGAATAACTGACATTTTCAATGGATGTTGGTGAAAGCAATTTTGGAAAAAGGTGGAGCATTGGTGGAAATGTAATACAGATGTTTCACTCACTGGAGTTATTAGTGAGTACTGTACCCTGTACCTGTACTTGAAAATTGTTGAGTTACAGTTATGTCAGAAAAGTGTTGGAGGAAGCATTTTTTTAGCTGTATCTTGAGGTATTAGCACTGTACATGTGTTAAGAACTTGGTGATAGTTGAGAGTGTTGAACAGTTGAGAGACCTACTGAAGAAGTGTTTAATAGTTGCAAGATTATCTAATACCAATAGTAATGAGGGAGACACTGATGGCAACAATAGAGGTGTATTGAAGTACTGTACAGTATTGATCTTGTTCTAGTGTGTCAACAGATAGAGAGTAATTGAAGCAGCAACTGTAGAAGAACCACTGTTTGGAGAAATGACTAGTACAGTATTAAAGAAGAATTAAAGTTACAATTTTTACCTCGCCCTGACTACATGTTCGGACCTTTGCCTCACAATTTTACTCATGAAAATAACACATACAAAAAATTATCTGTAGAAATGTAATACTTACTGGTACAGTATTTTCATTCATTGCTCCCTGATGCTTACAGTTGTACCAAACTGCCTCGAATTGGATTAATTTTGAACAAAGCTAAAATTATACCTAAATTAATGGTAAGGATTTTTAATCAATTCTGATAAATTCAAAGAAAGATTTTTTACAGTAATTTTTTATGTGGAGGTTTGCACTTTGTTAATTAACATATGTGTATTAGTTAATGTAGGTTCATGTATACAAACATTGCTGCACTTATTTATGTAGTCCAACATTTTATTTACACATTCAGACACATACAGTACAAACACAATAATGTTGACTTCCTTGTAATGTGACTCTGGTTCTTTCCCTGGCATTTTTTTTATTTCTTCCATCTATAGTTCAGTCTAATTAACTGTTTTAATAAAATGTTTGAGACTTGCCCCAATTATCACAAGTAGCTATATGATGTACAGTATGTGCATTAATTTGATGACATTTACTTTACTAGCCCAGAGCAGCTAACCCATCTTTATTTCATAACTGTGATGGTCAGGCCATTCACTTGCATGCATGAACACATACCCAGTACAGTACAGTACACACAAAACTGCATATGTACAGGTATATACAGTGTCTGACACTTATCTGACCAATATTGATTATTCTGCCAAAGTAATACTAAGGAAATGTAACAGGAAATACATGTACAAAAAGCCTTGGAAATTGTAGAGTTAATATTATATTACAGTACAATATACTTGTATTCAAAATGAATGTTTCTGGTTGTTTCTACACTCGAATCCATTTCATAGTCTCGGTACACAGACTTAAGTAACAATACAATCCTGTCTGGTAGTGTTTGTAGAGTATCTTGTTATTGGAGACACGAGTCTATACAGTATATACTGTACGGTTATGCCCTCGTAAACATGAATGAGATTTTATACTCATATGAAAAAGACCAAATACAATGAGCATGTACAGTACAGTACAATATATTAGATTAAAATAAAGAATATTAAAGATACGAACTTCAAAATAACTTTGATTAAAAACCAGTGTAAAAACTGCTTAAAAGGAATTAAAACAAAGCAAAACTGCCTTAAATCTGATGGGTCAACATGTGGTTTTTCAAAGAGTCTTTTCTTGAAGATCTGTATGGACATATGGTACATTCAAAGGGCTTCTCTCCTGTATGGGTCCGGATATGCGTCTTTAACCGATCTTTTGTAGCAAAGCCAAACGAACAGAAAGGACACGCATATGGTTTCTCCCCGGTGTGTCTATGTAAGTGATTCCTCAAATTAGTAGTAACATTTGAGGAGTAGTCACAGTAGGGGCAGTGATGCATCTTGACAGAAGAGCTGTGGCCCCGTCCCGCTGCCACGCCTCCTCTCCTCCCAGTCCACACATGGTCTCTCTCCAGCCTCACCTGTTGAGGACGCCTATCTTACTCAGGGTTATCAAAAGGTCTCAATAGTCATATTTACATTGATTGCAATAAGATATGATTAGGGGATCAGTATATACAGTGAGCATGTGTACTGTACTCAGCATAGTGCTACAAGTTAACATGCACCTCTATCAGTTAATGTATAAGAATGAATATGTGAAAATTGTAAAATTGAATTGAAGAATATATCTTCAATGTTGATGATATATAATATATAATATCTGCTTAAAAAAATTAAGACATATATTTTTGGCATAAAAAGTACAGAACAATATATCAGTTAATCCAAAAATGTATTGAGGCCTAAATGTGTAACAAATGATTTTGAGGAAAAACACTGTTAAGACTCTGCTTCTCATAACAACTTATACATAATACTATTTTGAAATTTATTTAAATTTTGACATATTCCATAGACTCAAGACTAAAGACAGTATTAATGGTTCTTATACAGTGGTACAGGTATCCCTGTAGACTACAGTAAACCTAAATATTATTAAAGCAATAAGCAAGATTTTTTGCAGTAGTATTTGTTATCCCCCGATGTAATATTCAGATGATTATATTTATTTATTTTTTTTTAAGTCTTGTGTCTGTATTTTGGACTTTTCAAGAAAAGCTAAATTTTCGAGATTATTCAACAAAAGGTAAAGAAAGCCAAGACAAAAGCAACAACAACTCTTCCCAGTAGTACCCTAGTTATAGGCAGATTTCATGTACTGTAGTCTTTACAGGCAACACAGACAGTATAGTACTGTACAGTACTGTATTTGCCACAAAAGATATTATAAGAAATTGTAGTTTCTCACTGAATTATGTATAAAATACACTACAGTCATGGTGTTAGTCCTTTCATGCAATTGTTGATATACAGGTACAGCTGTACTATTATGGGCAAATTACTGGGTATATCTACATCCCAGCATGACCACTCTAGCTGCTGCTGCATGACACAGCCTTTCAACTATCCCAACTTATATTTGACACATTTTAAATGTGTCTGAAGTAATTATTTAAATATCCACAGTCCTTGGCAAATGGTATTACACATACTGTACATGAATAAGTTTCCATAAATCATCTTAATAGTGTAACAGATTTAGCAAGCAGAAGAAGAGAACAACATACATTACACGAGGCTTTCTGGAATAAACTGCTAATCATGGCATAAACTGAGCATTAAAAGTGATGCTAAGTTCCTGAACAATTATACTGTAGTTGGAAATTCCCAGAAATTAAATGAGACAGGAATGAGGATAATAAAATATAATAAAAGAAAATTTTAGGAGGTTAATTTGGCAATGTATCATACATACCTATACTGTATATAGTATACAGGTATATATATATATACTGTATATATACAGTATATATTTTTTAATAATATATAAATGATGATTTCTTAATTGATTATCATCGAGTGTTTGACGTGATCACATCTTGAAATGGGTGATGAGTGGACATGTGACTCTTGAGGGAGAACATGCGAGAAGAGCGGTAAGGGCAGTGTGGACACGAGTAGGGTTTTTCTCCTGTGTGAGTTCGAATATGTGTTTCCAAGTTGCCTTTTCTTGAACAACTGTAGGAGCAGTGAGGACAAGCAAATGGTTTCTCTCCAGTGTGAACACAAATATGTCTTTTCAGATTATTTAAGGCAGTTGTAGAATAGTCACAGTAGGGACACTTGTGTATCTTGTCGAGGCTATTGAGGCAGGTCCAGGGTTGCTTGGGTATTCTTCCATCAGTCCACTGACAGCCACTGTCCAGCCCCACCTGTAGAGGATGCCCATCTTACTTTAGGCTAAAACAGCCATTGACAAATCAAAGGAGATTCCCAGTAACCTCCTTTAATAAATATTAATAAAAAACAATGTTACCAGCCAAGACTTAATGAATATAATACAGGAGAGAATAAAGAATATAGAGATTCACAAGAATAAATCCTTTAACACATGATCTGACACACTATTTGATAAATTCAAACATAAAAGGTGAACACCAGACAAGCTATAAACTAAACCACAGTATTACCAGCCTGTCAACACCATACTTATAAATCATCTTGATTTTTTCTGTACAGGTGGGAAATTTTCCTAAAAAAATTTCTTTTAAAGACAATCTGAAATCAGCTCAGGGAACACGAGGTCAGTGCTATGTACCTCCAGTTAACTGTAATTTCATCTGTCCATCCATCCCTTTTTCCTAGTTTGTGTCTAGTTTGTATCTGTTTAAACAGTGGAAGAACTCCCATCCCATATACAGTACACAAATATTTCTTAATAAGAAAATATGCTTAAAGACCAAGGTTTAAAACAAGGTCTAGAAAGATCAGTCGGTCCTTCTTTCATTAAATAAAAGTTAATTTTAACATTATCTTTTATTATAGGGTACACAATTTTGTAATCTTCAAATATCATTTGTCCTGTAATATTTTTTTTAGTAACTCAGAATTTTGTCTTTTAGCATCTTGAATTCTTATTTCAGTGACTTTTAATGGAAGAGACAACAGAGTAACCTTTTAGGAGTACTACTGTACTGTACAGTATACCCAAGCATGTCCACCCTATTTTATTACATACAGTACAGTACAGTACAGTACAATACTGCATGTGGTTCTCTCCCGGATTCAGAATGACTCTGTGTTCCTCAGTTTACCCTTGTACTGTACTGAGTTGTACCTCCAATAACTATCCAACCACGAGTGAACTCGTAGCAATGGTTTTAAATAAGACAGATTTAAGCGCGACATAGGTAAACACTGGTTTGGAAATAGAGTAGTGGATGAGTGGAATCAGTTACCAAACATCATCAACTCGAACACGCTGGGAAGCTTCAAATATAAGTTGAAAGGATATCTGATCGATTGGGGTTGGGTGTAAACGGGGCTGCCTAGTATGGGCCAATAGGCCTGCTGCAGTTTCCTCTATTCTTGTGTTCTTATGTTCGTTATATTTTCTGAGAAAAAATCAAGAAATAGGTATCTCTCATTAACCTCCGGGCGATATTGCAGTTTAATATAAATTTATTACAGCAATTTATACAATGAATCACTTAAAACCTTGAACATCATATGACATATTTACAAAAGATAATTTAATACAAGTATGGCAGATACATTTTAAACTTAGTTCTGTACAGTACAGGATTTTTAAAGAAGATAATGATGAACAGTGGAGAAGATGATGATGCAAGGAATAAGGTCACTACACATTAAGAGGCCTACAGGGAACACAGGAATAAATCTGAAAATTAGAATTCTTAGAATATGGATTTTAAAACATTTTACACTGGATGTGCTTATAAAATATTACACTGTACAGTATATTTCTTTTACATATAAAGTGAGCTACAAGTAGGAGGTCACTAACCATATTGTAACGTCTGGTGCTCAACTTATTTATGTTTCCTTCAGTTTCATGTTTTAATCCATGGACTCTAGTTCTCCATTTTACAAAGTCACAATAATAACGATCGTGAGTTTCATAGTGTGACAATATCACTTAAAGTTTCCTTCATTTAAATGTTTTGCCTTTACATTTTATGATGTAATACAGCACCTCTAATCTGACAGTAATTAATTAAATAAAAAATAAATAAAATTATTTGGCCCGAATGTATAGAATAATTTGTATCTTAGGTCACTTTTATCTACAATCATATCTCAAGAAGCCAGCTGTGCTGTACTGTACTATACTGTAGTGTATTGTACTGTACTGTATTGTACTGTGCAGCACTGTACTGCATTGTACGGTTCTGTACTGTACTGTACTGTGCTGTGCTGCACTGTACTGTATTGTACTGTACTGTACCATACTGTACTGTGCTATACTGTAGTGTATTGTACTATACTGTAATGTGTTGTGCTGCACGGTACTGTATTGTACGGTTCTGTACTGTACTGTACCATACCGTTCTGTACTGTACCATACTGTACTGTGTTGTGCTGTAATGTGCTATACTGTACTGTACCAGCAGTGGGAGTGACTTACTACACAAGTTAAATACTTTCCTTAAAATAGTTGTAGAGTACAGCAGTTGTGTTCCAGATAAGTAACCTGTACATCCTGTACTTACTTACCGTAAGTTAGAACATTCACAAATTATAATGTACAATACTGTACTCTGCAGTCATACATGAAATATAGACACTGCTCTATAATTTCACATTTGCTTTGCAAAGTCATCAAAGTTATTTCACTGCAAGGCTTACATTTACTGAGCATGACTAAGTCATTCAAACCATTCTTCTCAGTAATAACCACGATTTATAAGTACGATACCACAAGATTTTTAAATTCATGTTTTCTGGTGTAGTTAGTGCCCCCCCCCCTCCCCCCCCAGTGCCAATTGTTACTGTATATTACTGTAACAGAAATTAATTTAACTTTGTCTTAAATCTAATTGGCAGTACAGTATCTTCATAAAATTAAAAATCTTTATAAGGTAAGTTCACATAGTTTTGAAAATTATTTTTGAACTTTAATTAGCACCAGCCTGGGCCAGTACACACTGTATGTGCTCAAACAAACAACAATAACTGGTAAAAAAGTATAAAAAATAAGTACAGTGTATATACTGTACTGCACAGTAGTACCAAATGAAATTTGTAAAGGGCAGTGTGAATGAAAGTAAAATATTATAAATATGTTTATACTTGGTGTAAGAACATGTGGTTCTTTAAAGAGTCTGTGCGAGAGGAGCGGTACGGGCAGTAGGGACATATATAGGGTTTCTCTCCAGTATGTGTACGAATGTGTGTTTTAAGATTCTCTTTTTGTGTACAAGTATAAGAACAGTGTGGACATGCAAATGGCTTTTCTCCAGTATGTGTGCGCACATGCCTATTGAGGTTTGTTATGACAGTCGTGGAATATTGGCAGAAGGGACACTGGTGTATCTTGCCTGCGGTGTTCGTCATCTTTCGGTCTCTTCTGACTCCTTTTCCACCAATCCACTGACTGCCACTGTCCAGCCCCACCTGCAGAGGATGCCCATCTTACTTAAGACTTGTAGTCACTGAGTTACTTGCAATATACACATACAGTACAACTCTTTATACAAAACTCTTAAGCATGGAACCCATATTACGTGTTTCTCTCACTGATGGTTGTCTGGAGTGGTATTACTTTAAAAAACTAGTTTAGGATCAATGATATATCCTCTACTTTTTATTAATGTAAAATGAATCTGTGAGAAAAAACTACCGTAATTCATAAACTTATGGATTACTTACGACATAAAGCGTTGAATTAAGAAGTCTTGTGGGTGAAACAAATTAAGTTACAGTAACTGTTGGTGTTTGTTAGTAGATGTTATTTTATTGCGTCCCTTCAGTAATACATAGAGTAATTCACAAGATTTACTTGATGGTTAATCACATTAAGTATTATCTGTTACCAGCGGCACCCACAGGAAATACAATACAGTACAGTATAAGATACCAAAGTGTACAGAAATTAATATTCATTATGACTGGAAAATGTTGCTCTACTATAACCTTAGTCAACAAGCCTTTTGCAGGATATATTCTGACTCATTTAGTGATTGTATATAAAATGCACCTGATGGCATATTCAGACATACACATCCTGTATACAGTACACACACACACACACACACACACACACACACACACACATACTAAACTACATCAGACTATATCAGACTTTGATCTTTAATAACAGATAAATAAATCCATAAGAACATAAAACTCACAAGGAAATTCCTTTTATGTTTTACTTTGAAGAATTTTTAAAAGTTTTAATTGTAGATACTGTACTGTACACTTCATGTCCCGTATAATAAGCCACAACATCACATGACAACACTTTTGTAATGAAATAACCAATATTAATCTGTTGAATAATTAGATAACTTTGATAAATGCCATATTTTTGTGTTATGGTCGTGGTTATAATACATACAGTATTCTATATTCTTGCCTGGTCACACATAACTGCTTATGAGTGAATATCTCAGACTAAATTAGAAAAAGAAAAACAAAACAATTCTAGTTCTGATGAAGAAACAAATGAGATCTTAATGAATCCGTCCGTGAGGATCGGTAAGGGCAGTGCGGACAAAAGTAAGGTTTTTCTCCGGTGTGAGTCCGTATGTGCTTCTTCAAATTTTCTTTTGTAGTACAACAATATGAACAGTATGGACATGCAAAAGGCTTCTCTCCAGTATGAGTGCGAACATGTCTCTTCAAATGTGTTATAACTCCAGTTGAGTACTGGCAGTAAGAACACCGGTGTATTTTGATAGTAGCGTTGGGTGACTTCATGCCTCTTCTAATTTCTTTCTCATCAGTCCACAGTCCGCCACTGTCCAGCCCCACCTGTTGAATATGCCTATCTTACT